GCTGATGCCAGGGGCTTAAGTGGAGAGCAAATGTTTTGAGAATGATGAGGGCAATGAATGTATAAATGTGCTTTACACAATCGATGTATGTATGGCTTGTGATAAGAGTTGTATGAGCCCCTAATAAAATGATTTAAAAAAAGAAAAAAAAATGTATGTATGCATCATTTCGATCACTAACTAAAATGTGTCTTTTACTAGCAGTCAGTTCAGAGAAGTGTGAGGGCACTACTACCTCCTTGACCCACACCCCTCCCCTGTCTTTTCATCCAGTTCAGCATTTATTGAACATTCTTCATTGTCCTGTCATGTTCTCTAGTAAACACTAGGGATATAGCAAAGAGTAGCATCTCTTTCCTTCCCAGAGGTCCTACCCTCACAAGGCCTGCAAACATGAAATGGCTTCGATGTCTGTCATTTACTAGCCATATGTCAAATTATGATCAGAGTCCAGAAATACAAACACAGCCCTGTGTAGAAGAGTTGGTATATATTTTACAGAAAATGACTTCAGTGCTTATTCTTGAAGGAGAGTGATGCATTTGGTGGCCAGACAGAAAAGAAGACAGCATTTATTCAGAAGAAAGCCAACTTAATCAACGTGCACAGGCTCAAAAATGGGTGGTACACACAGGGCATAGCTGCTCTGCTACCTTTTTAAATTATGAGAGAGAATACGAAGATAAGACCTGTGAGGCGTGTAAAAGACGAAGCAGTAAAAACAACATTGGAGGAAGATTGCCACTTATTTGAAGAAGTATACGTTATGCCCATTAGGAAACTGAATGTTAGTAAAGATCTTTAAGAGTAGAAGAACCAAAGTTGTTGTAGAAGAATAACCAATAAGTACAAAAGATTGATTAGACTTTGGTCAAATCAGAAACAGAGAAACCAGTCAGGCCACTTCCAAGCTATGCTTGGTAGAAAAAAAAATCACTAGAATGTAGCATAGAAACAAAGGAAATAAATACCTAAGAGAAACATTGAAGGTGGAAATCACCAAGGTCTGGGAAGTGCACATGGAAGAGGAGAAAACTCAAATGTATCTCCAATTGCTGGCTGGATTGACTAGGTGAATGGTGTTGCTGGTAACCGAGAATATGAATAGAAAGTCAATTTACTTTGCTTGCAGTGTACGGATTATGAGAAAGATGAGAAAAATCAAGGCCAACCTGTTCAGTAAATGGTAGCCTTTGCGTTCATAAGGAAAATGAATTGTAGCAAAGCGGGGGACTGAAAATGACTACAAACTATTTTCAGCTCTTCATATCAAGAACAGGAACGTATTTTCCCAACCGTTGAATCTGAGCTGGCCTACTGACTTGATTTGACCACACAAAATGCAGTGGAATTGCTATTGTGCAGCTTCGAGTTTAGGTGTCAAGAGAACCTGTAGTTTCTAGTGTGTCATATTAGAACATTGACATGACGTGAAGAAGCCAAAATTTGCCTGCTGGAGAACATGGCCCAACCAGTAATTAACACCAGCCACCAGGCATGGGGACGCAGATCTCTTAGACAAATCAGTTCCAGCCGAGACTCCAGACATGGGTAAACATAGAACGACCACAGAAGAGATTCACAGAAAGAAGAGCCTGCTCTGTGAGCCAGTGGAACACGGTGGTGTTAGGCTAC